TTTTTTTTCATATTGGTATTGTTTAGTTTTATAGTAATTTGAAGTTATTAGTATTTTCATAATAACATTAATGGTACCAATTTTACTGCACCAGTAAACTTCAACTTATTTTGAGATTTTTGTTTGTTTCACAATTCAACTTTTAGTCAGTTTCAATCACTGTGTGATAAATTCTTTCAATCTGATAAATGTGCTTCGGGGCAGTTGTAACTCATTTATAGAAACTCTTTGTTTTGAACTGTAAATAGACTCAAATAATAGGATAATCCCTAAGAATTTACATTCATTCTTCACAATTAAGAGGCATCCAATCCTACAATTTCATTGGTCGAGAGTACTTTGCTATATTCTAAACAAAGTTGATATAATTGTCAAACTGTTTTTAAATTACTGAAAGAAGAATGTCAATTTGGAAGCATAGTTCAATTGTAAAACATTAAAATCTTATTTAAACATAAATAACAAAACTATTTATAACTTTTAATGATGTGGTTACAAGGTTATGATAAAGTTATTAAAACCCAGAAAAACCTCAGACTTTGCCCTCCATTAATATAATATGAAGGTGAAATAATTGAATATAATGATTTGTACAAAATAAATGACTACAAAATGTTAATATTATATAGAGTCTGGTTGCTAAAAATGTTGTGTTTTTATAATCGGTGATATAAATTTGTGTTCTCTACCTTCTGTGTTTATTTCTGTCCTCATCAGATTGTTGACATTTGTGTGTCCTTGTTTTAAGACATGTTGTTTCTTTAGATGTTTATATAGATATCTGTGATATAATTTTGTATTTATTATTATTATTATTGTTCAGAAAGAAATGTCAATATCATTCCTTAATTAAAACTAATTCATAACATTGTCAAATTGTTTTTTTTGTTTTGTGTATTATGCTCTGATATTAATTGAGGTTCAGTCTTCATTCTAGCAGGGGCCTCGGTGATGGAGTGATCTAAGTATTTGAACTACTGTATCACTAGCCTGTCAATGCTGAGGTAGTGATTTCAAAATCTCGCACTTGGTAGGTGTGCTTGACTCTAATCTCAAATCACTAGGATTGTCAGTGAAAGTATGTGGTGCTCTCTGGGCACTCTGGCTTCCTCCACCAATAAAAACTGACCACCGCCACTTTCAGCACAATGAAGTGCTGAAAGTGGCGTTAAACACCAATCAATCAATCTAACATTTTCATGTGGAGAAAGGAAAGATACAACAATATATCTATTATGCAAGTCATATCGCATAAAAAGTATGACAGTTGTAGCTCTCACCAGTGCACAAAATTATACACAATTCAGTTATTATACAAAATGCATATTTCAAATCTGATTGGTGTATAGAGAATCATGTGACAAACAAAATCAAATAAAAATTTGCCTCTTTGGAAAAGCTTTTGATACTATAACAACAAAACGATAATATACAATACCATATCTAAGAACGGTCACAGTTACAGTAGACCTGGGAACAGTATATCTAATATATATGTTCCTGAGTAGACAAGCTCAAAATAATCCATCTTTTGTTATAAAATCATACAGTACTACTTTAATATTGGTGGCTGTAACTGTAGGCAAGCTCAAAACAATCAATCTTTTGTTATAAAATCATACAGTGCTACTTTAATATTGGTGGCTGTAACTGTAGGCAAGCTCAAAACAATCAATCTTCTGTTATAAAATCATACAGTGCTACTTTAATATTGGTGGCTGTAACTGTAGGCAAGCTCAAAACAATCAATCTTTTATTATAAAATCATACAGTACTACTTTAATATTGGTGGCTGTAACTGTAGGCAAGCTCAAAACAATCAATCTTTTATTATAAAATCATACAGTACTACTTTAATATTGGTGGCTGTAACTGTAGGCAAGCTCAAAACAATCAATTGTTTGTTATGAAATCATACAGTGACAGTACTAATCTAATATTGGTGGCAGTAGCTGTAGGCAAGCTCAAAACAATCACTCAATCTTTTCTTATGAAATCATTCTGTCCTACTCTCTTATATTGGTGACTGAAACGGAAGGCAAACTCAAAATAATCAATCTTTTATTATGGAATTATACTGTCCTACACTTTGATAATGGTAGCTACAACAGAAGAAAAACTCAAAACAATCAGTCTTTTATTATCAAATCATACTGTTCTACTCTTTAATAATGGCGGCTACAACTGAAGGTAAACTCAAAATAATCAATCTTTTGTTATTAAATCATACTGTTCTACTCTCGAATATTGATAGCTGCAACTGAAGGAGACCTCAAATTCAGTACTCAATCTTTTGTAATTAATTCATCCTGTTCTATTCTCTAACACCTGTGTCTGTAACTGAAGGCAAGCTCAAAATACTCAATGTTTTGTTATGAAATCATATACAGTAGTTCCGTACTCTCTAATATCTGTGGTTGTAACTGAAGGCAAATTCAAAATACTCAATCTTTTGTCATGCAATCATACAGACCTTATCTAATATTGGTTACTGTAACTGAATGCAAACTCAAAATATTCAATCTTTTGTGATGAAATTACGAATCATATGGTTCTACTCTCTACTTGGTGACTGATACTGAGGGCAACCCCAAATTAACAGTGGCGGATCCAGAACTTTTCATTAGGGGGGGGGGAGGGGGCTCCAGTCATGCTTCAGTGATTCCCTATAACCACAAAAAAAACCAATCTTTTGTTATGAATTCATTCTGTCCTCTCTAATATCGTATGCTGAAAGTGAAGGCAACCACAAAATACACAATCTTTTGTTATGAAATCATACAGTCCTACTCTCTAATATCTGTGACTGTAACTGAAGGCAAACACAGAATACTCAATCTTTTGTTATGACTTCATTCTGTCACACTCTCTAATATTTGTGACTGTAACTGAAGGCAACCCCAAATAAAGTACTCAAATATTTTGAATTCATACTGTCTTATCTCTAATATTGTTAGCTGTACCTGAAAGCAACCTCAAATTTATCATTCAATCAGTTGTTATGAATTCATTCTGAATAACTCTCTAATATATGCGACTTTAACTGACAACAACCACAATATACTCAATCTTTTGTTATGAAATCATACAGTCCTACTCTCTAATATCTGTGACTGTAACTGAAGGCAAACACAAAATACTCAATCTTTTGTTATGACTTCATTCGGTCACACTCTCTAATATTTGTGACTGTAACTGAAGGCAACCACATAATACTCAATCTTTTTTGATGAAATCATACAGTCCTACTCTCTAATATCTGTGGTTGTAACTGAAGACAACCACAAACTACTCAATCTTTTGTTATGAAATCATTCAGTCTTACTCTCTAATATCTGTGGCTAAAACTAAAGGCAACCACAAAATACTTATTTTTTTGTTATGAAAACATACTGTCCTACTCTCTTATATTTGTGACTGTAACTGAAGGCAAACTCAAATACTCAATAGTTTGTTATGAAATCATAGTCCTGCTCTCTAATATCTGTGGCTGTAACAGAAGGCAACCACAAAATACTCAATCTTTGTTATGAATTCATTCTGTTCTCTCTAATATTGGTGGCTGTTACTGAAGGCAACCACAAAATACCCAATCTTTTGTTATGAATTCATTCTGTCCTCTCTAATATCGTAGGCTGAAAGTGAAGGCAACCACAAAATACCCAATCTATTGTTATGAAATCATTCTGTCCTCTCTAATATTGGTGGCTGAAACTGAAGGCAACCACAAAAAACTCAATCTTTTGTTATGAAATCATTCTGCCCTTTCTAATATTGGTGGCTGAAACTGACGGCAACCACGAATACTCAATCTTTTGTAATGAAATCATTCTGTTCTACTCTCTTATATTTGTGGCTGTACTTCAGAGTACTGATTTTAAGCAATAATATAAAATGCTTAGTAACATTTTGATATTATGGATGTGTTTAAAAGTATTAAAATATTTATGTATATCATTTCCATGTGAATATAAAATATTTGTGATGTACATCATTTAGACAGCAACCCATTGACACAGAATAACCTTTTCAAATAAATACAGCTAGATCTCATCAACTTTCAGTTTTTGATCCTACGAGTGAAACAATTTGGGTGAAATTTGTCCTTACACCTTAGCTTAAGTAGAATACCTGTCAAAACGATATGCACAATCGAAACACGGTCAGACAAAGCATGGGAACCACGATGGGATTATGTAAACCGTACATAAGGGTCTGGATGGGGGTCCTTCATTTCTGTAATTAAAAACAAAAGTTATACCATTTTCTCTTCCTATTTTTTTTATTTATTTTAACCAATATCACTATTCTTTATTTATTTTAACCAATATTATCTATTCTTTATTTTAACCAATATTATCTATTCTTTATTTTAACCAATATTTTATTTCAGCACCCCCATTATTTTCTTTTCTTTATTTTTCTTTCCTTTCATTGTTCTTTATTCTTTATTTTTCAACCCTTTATTCTGCACTTTTTGCCCATTTTTCTCTATTCTGTTAACCTCATCCAGACCCTTAGGCATGTTGATCTGTAATGTTTTTAGAACTTTCTACATAAAAACACACAAACCTAATGAATAACCGTATACAAATATTCGTCAGTGAATTTCTTCTGACCTTTATCCGCCAGCGATGTTTTAAAAGTAGGAGTTTCTTGTTTTATGGTGTTACTGTACAGGTATTTATTTTATCTTATAATGTACAAAGTTTACCAAACCTCATTTAATCCCATAGGGAGTGAACCTACCATGCATGTAAATGGGCTGAGACTACCATCTAAATAATAGTCCAAAGTATGGTTGATATAACGATATGTATTTTCATTGGTTTCTGTGAAAATCAGTAATACACTAGATGTGAATTTCAATTCACTAATAAAACAAAAAGACAATGTCAAAACAAAATAATTTATTTGGGAATTGTTTCAAAATATACGGGAACGGGGACACCACACCACACCACACAAACATCTCACGCATGACTAAACACAACAGTCGTTTAGTAGTTGTAGTTAAAGCCTAAAAATAGAAAAAAAAAATTAATGTTAAAATCACACCTACTTGCTTGATGTCATAAATGATCAAATGGTTACGTAAAAGACTAAATGTAACAATACTATACATGGAATTGGATTTCAGCAGCGATCTTTCATTGGATATAAACCACGCTCCATCTGCACGTGCCTGAACCAAGTCGGGAACTTCTTCAGTATTTCACAATTTTGTTCGTTATTTTGAGACTTGGTTTCAAAAGGCAGATCATTGATTGTTTCATTTGAACTAATTCGCCAATTTTTTTTAGACTAAGTATACGCTTGAGAGCTTGACGTACTGTATAGACACCTGTCTTTTATAAATATGGAATGTTATAACGCGATATGTACTTTTCTTGTTTTGCCGTAATTGGTTTCTGCATGAAAAAAATACAAGAATACAATAGATGTGAATTTTTGTAATACAGCTTTTAAACGAAATAGTTTATTTGGAAATTGTTGGAAATAAGAGATAACAGAGAAGCCACACACATTTCTAAAGCCCCGAGTGTTAAGTTAAAAGGGGGAGGGGTGACACCGGCGTGCTCTTTCCCTAATTACTTTTTTTTTTAAAAATTTTTCCCTATTTCCAACATTTTTTCCTTTCTTTTTTTTACCCCTATATCCCACATCTCCACGTCTATCCGATCCCACATCTCCACGTCTATCCCCTATATGATCCCACATCTCCACGTCTATCCCCTATATGATCCCAAATCCCATGCAAAAGCGTGTCATTCTTGTTGTTATGACTTTGTTCAATTTCGGACATTTCATTTTATTGCATCGTCGAACTGTTGGGATACAACACAACTCATGGATTTTTAATGGGAGAATCGTTATTTTCATGAGATTATTTATATCTGTCGGCCGAAGAATATACATATAAAAAAAACTTACTTGCGCTTCTTCTGTATCCTGATAAAGAAAAACAGTAGAGCATTATATATTGTACACTGTAGAAAATTGATATGTTACTTACTTTTTTTTTCATTTGTTTTACCGACCGTGCAAGGGCTGTATAGCCAGTCAAGGTCGTTAAAAACTTCCATATATATTTTCATTTGTTAAGTTACACATTAACAATGAGTAACAAGTTTTCTGGAATAGGATATTTCAAATAGCTTTAACTTCAATTTAATATAAATTATAGAAGAGTTGCATATTAGAAATCTAATACGAATACATATTTGATATTTGACTGATTAACAGCCACCGACTAATACTTCGTGCAAAATCCGAAAAAGCTCAATGATGTAATATAAAAAAAAACACTTACTCCTTTTGCCAAATCCACCACTAACACCAATTCCTCCGCCAATTCTTCCACCAAAACCACCTCCAGCACCGCCACGGAATCCACCACCGAGACCTCCGCCAAATCCACCACCACGACCACCACTTGAAAGGGCTAGACGAGCAGCAAGACTGGCACTGAGTGATGCACTGCTTCCTAATCCACCTAATCCTCCACCTAATCTTCCTCCGAATCCTCCTCCTAGTCCACCACCAAATCCTCCTCCGCCTAGTCCTCCGCCAAATCCACCAAGTCCACCGCCTAGGCCACCCCCTGAAATGTTTACGAAGAAATAATAGAACTTGTGTTTGGTTGACATTTGTTGTTTCATTTATCCTCAGGTAGACAATTTAACCACAAAGTATGTTATTCCATGAATTAATGACAAACCTTGTTTTCTTAAGTTATCTATCTACTGTGTGAGTGCTTGTTTGGTATTGCTGTTGTTCTTTTCGTTTTTCTTCTTTTGTCTTTTTGTACAGGCACGTGTTTTTTGTTGATTTTACTTTTATTCACAGCAAGTCATTCTCGCCACCAACTAATTACATACTTTTGTTTCACCAGCTATAAAACGCAGTTGTATAAAACATACCGTAGACTATTCCCCCTTTAAGTACCATAAAAATATCTACTATTTTCTTTTTAATGAAATATGAATTTTTCACAATCCTTTTTACTAGACCGGCATACTGAATCGAAGATTTAACGGGCCAGATTTTTAACAGTAAAGAAAGAAAAAAAATATGACGAACTATAATGGTTTTTCGGACTTACTGGGTGTAGAACTATCGGGTGTCGTAATACCGGAACGATCCGCCTAGATATGTTATTCGTACTCCGAGGCGGTCAATCTTTTCTCTTTGTTTGACTATCGAATATACTGTTTTTTTTGCATGTTTGTTTGGCCCGACAGCGATTGAAAAATCAAGAGGAGCACGTCTACAATGAAACCATCGAGGCAGTTGATTACAACTTTTGAAGTTTGTCGTCTGAATAGGCATATTTGCAATGTAAACATTGTCCCATGTAGAATATTAGATGCATTGTCTAGTTCCTGCGATGTAATTTTCTACTGATGAGAATATTCCAAAATGTATGCGCAGTAACCATATAATGGTTATGTTATATCGTCTGCTTACCTCCAATGCTACCACTTATACCACCTCCAATACTTCCACTAATACCACCCATACCACCACCCCAGCCTCCACGTCTGCCATATCCATTGGCATTAGCAGCAACAACCATTACTGCCATTACCATAGACATACATTGAAGGCGATTCATTTTTATCTACAAATAAACAAGTAAAAATTATTTTAGAAGATGTTGGAGCGATATCCCTTGCATTTTACATCGAAACTTTACTTGATTTTACAATTTTAAAACCTGATGTCTGTATTTTGAGGTTATAACAACAGTGTATCACATTTCTGAACGTATACAGTCAAGTTATAAATGCATTTCTATAGATACCTCTTAACTGTGTTCATAATAGTATTTGGCATATTGTCAGTGTATTTTTTTTAATGACAAGGACTTTTAAAAGACATTCCGATGCAAACCCAGAAGTCTATCGGAATTAAAGTACTGTTTTGTCGATTTCGTTACAGATCTTTTCTATGTAAAATTTACAATTTTGAATTGTATTGTATTCGACAGTGGTCTATAGCCTGAAAAACATAACGATTTTATAGATTTTAACGAATTGATAAAAAATATTTAGTATATCATTTACGTAAACATCTTAACATTCAAAATTCTACGAGGTTTCCTGAACTTTACGTTTTTCACCATGTTAATGAAGAAAAAAATCACAGGGGAATTTACCATAACTCTTACTAGTAATACCCGAATATATTTATTGTGTTACATAATAGCGTCCGACTGGGGCGAGACGCAATGATCACTGTAATGTATCGTCTTGCGACACAGCATTGATTTTGCCATTTTTGCCTTAATCATTTGGAAACCGGAGTTGACACGCGTATGAGTAAAACAAAATCAGAGATCAATATTTTAATTACATTGGGATATAATACGTTATATTGTTCTGAATTCTAAGGTTTGTTGAAATGTCAAATACGTAAAAACAGCAAGTATTGCGTGTAAGCCAATGAGATTTAAACGCATTAACGGCGAAAAAAATCCAAGAGATCTAGTGGTCAACATGATAATGAGTAACTGGTATATCTTTTTTAAAATATATATATAGATTATAAGAAAAAAGACAAATGATTGTTGAAAAAAACTCCCGGAATATGAAAAAAACGCGTGGCTTAGATACCAAATTGATACGCTGGCGGGAGATGTGTGGGTACCAGACCAGATTACATTATCTAGAATAAAAAATGTTGTTATTTGGAATCTACAGCAGATAATCGGAAACTGACGAACCAATTGAAATATCCCATGGCCGACAACGATACTAGTCAACAAAAGTAACTATTAATAGGCCCTATACAAGTTTGAACTCTAACAACTTAAATTTTAATAAATAGGGAAAACTGGTATTATAAATTACCATAAGAAAAACGTTCATTGCAAAGCAAATGCCTACGATTCTGAAAACCTGACCAAGTAGGAAAGTAAGAAAAATATCATATGATTGAACAAAGAGGTAATTTTTATTTTCTGACGAACAGCGGCATTTTGAAGATGAGAATTTTGCATTCAAATAATTACGAAGGCATTCATTTAAACGTGTAAAATTGCCATTAAAAGTTTCTCGTTTTAGCCTTTAATCAATGGTTTTGATAAAAGAAAAAAAGAAAAAAAAGCAATACACCAATTAGGCTTTTATTTAAAAACATAGTACCGTGCATCCAATTTCATTATATATGAAAAATGCATTGCCTTGAATCGTTTTTTAATGCTTGACTAATATATTGAAATCTACTTACCCTGAGTGCTGGTCTTGGTTCTTAAGAAGAAAATCGGGATGTACTACTCTTTTTATCTCTTCCCTTTATATACAATACATTTTTTAAACGGAAATATCAAATGACTTGTTCAACAGACGATAAATAATTAAATTTGTTAAATCAACTTAAAGTTTTGACCTGCATGTTAAATAAATAAGTATTTATTATTGTTTTACGATGAAATGGACATATACTATATCTTTAACATTTTGAAAACATAATAATTGTCATAAACATCAAAGAATGACAGCGTATGAATCATTAAAATTAAAACATGAAAAATTAAATAAAAAACAATATACAATGTGTAGTGAATAGTGCATATGTTGAAAAAAAAATATTTAAAAAAGGAAGTTTCAAGGCTAACATAATTATAAGTTCCCATAAAAAAAATTAACGAGAAGACACAATATTGTACTACCGTGTACTACGTATACCGAGGTCACGTCCATCAAATAACATGTACAAATGTTATGTGTAATATGTTAAAAATATCAAATTTGTAAAATGAATACAATTAATACGGACATATTTAGAATCTTTATGTTGAAAATTCCTTTTTGATTCAAAGTCTATGTTGACAACATTTATACGGGTATGCTTTATTTAGGGATAAGGTATGTGTAAATTCAAAACCTTTAGACAGCTGAGAGAGAGAGAGAGAGAGAGAGAGAGAGAGAGAGAGAGAGAGAGAGAGAGAGAGCTTGTGGTCTATAAACAGATTTGCTATTGTCCAGTGACCAACAAAACAGCCTCGCTTATGATTTATATAAAAATATGGAAAATATGGTATGATTGACAATGAGATAAACTATCCCATACAGGCCATTTTTCAAAGGACGTGGATGTATAAGCAACTATAGGACACCGCACGGTCTTCATCAATGAGCAAACCCATACACCCCGAGCTTAATGAACTTTTTACTAGAAAATTTGAAAAAGAAAATGATTCAATCTTTTGTTTTGGCTTTAAAAAGAATAAATGATTTTCTCTCTAGGATTATCTTAGTTTAACATTTACCTTGAAGCTTAATTTGTTCTTTACTAGAGATTTTAAGGGGGACAGAACACCTAGGGGAGTTAACTCTTTCAAATTCAGCTGAACGTTTGAATCACACACTATTTGTAAAAAGGAATCAACTTCTCAGTGATCAAAACTAGTCACGTTTGTCAAACTGCTATATATCCAATGAAATTAGTCCTATTAATTGTATGGTTCAAAGTTCAAATGGTTACCAATAGATCGAAATAAACATTTTGTCAAATTTTATGAAAATTAAAATGAGCCAAAACTATCTTAGTCAAAGTGTTGGGTATCCCTTAAAAAGGGAACTTGAAAACTTAAACATAATTAAAACATTTTCAAATGAATTATAAAACAAAGTTAACTCGACAGAAGACAGACGACAAATGACCTATATCAACAAATTAATCGAAGCATGTAAGTTCTAAATCATATTGTCATTTATACATGCATATTACATTTCCCTTAATATTATGCGACCTTTTCTAGTGGGAGAAATAAACCTTTATCATTCACTGGCGAACATGAAACACCCGTATGTAGAAGAAATGTATCCTATTCCATTAACTTTTTTATTATGCGCTTCACTTTTGAACTTTTTACTAATTTTATGTCAGTATTGCTCGTCAAGTTCCGTCAAATATTTATCCTTCAACGTATTTTCTATTTGATGAGTTCATAGAAAAATGATAGCTATACAGCAATTCAATTACAATATAGATCTTTGATTTCGTTGCTCATACGAGTACGCGAGTTCCGATAGATTTGATTTTTCATCAGATTGGCTAAACAGAAAAAACTATACATAATACAAACCATTGACGACACCATGTTCGAGTGCAAATAATAATTGGTTATTCTATAAATTCTAGATCTTACCAAAACAAGTATTTCAATAAACTTTATTTTTCCGATAGTAAATTTCCTTTTACTGTTAGCTTTTCATGAGCTAGGGGCAAATTCAGTAACCTTCTTAATAGAACAAAATTATTGCACACTCAGAAAATAACCATTCAGTTATAATTTATTGATAGATAGGAATTAACATTGAAAAAGTTAATATAGTATATGGTTGACATGACCGGACGATTTGGTTGACTATTTTACTAACAAGTGTCATCAAGTTGACATAAGACCTATTTCAATAAGGATCGAGTTCCTATTGGCTTTCAACAATTAACCGATCTGACAAATTATAACTGTCTTTGACAAACGCCGCTTGAATGCGTTTCAGGATATGCTTATATATCCTTCCGGTCGGTGCACCAGACATTACTCCCGATTTTAATTTTTTAAGCATGAATGCATGACAATAGTGTAAATTAAGAAATTATTGCGTGCATTTATTATTGCGATTGAAAAATGGACAAAAATACGAGATTAATTTATGATAATTCGATTGATTGATTGGTTGGTGTTTAACGCCATTTTCAACAATATTGTGTTATTTCGTGGCGGTCAGTTTTTATTTGTGGAGTAAGTTGGAGTGCCCGGAGAGAACTTCCAACCTTCGGTAGGAAATTGCGAATTCGAGAAAGTCTGCATATCAGAATGCGAGTTCTTATTATTGCGATATTCACCTAGTCGCATTATTCGCAGTAATAAAAACCACGCAACAATTTCTGAATTTACAGAAATTGTAAACTGTGATGATTTTTTTTTGTGAGATTGTCTTTTAAGATCGTTTTCATTAATATGAAAATCAGTAATGTGATATGATTGACGATATAAATAGGTCAGCTATCTACCAGAGACCAGAGGAAGAAGATGTAAACAGCTATATGGTTCACTGTTTGTCCCTCAGCGATGAGCAGAAGCCATACCTTATAGTAAGCTATAAGAAAATCAGTATCACAACATGTGAAACAATTCAAAAGAAAGAAAACAAAATCCTGATTAATGCTAAAGCAATAAACAAAAACGAAAAAAATTGGCAGACAGCAACGAACGACAACCACTGAGTTACAGGTTCCGGACTTGGGACAGGCACAAAAAGAACGTGGCGGGGTTACAAAAATCATAAGCGCCAAAATCCTCCTTAAACCAAGACTTGACTCATTAAACCCTAACAAAAGAGTATCCGTTATTACTGAAGCAAGCTCAAAGCCCAATTCCAACTAATGAATAAACCATGTTTTCCTAGACTAATATATCAATCAGTACACATCCAATGGATTTAATGTAAAGGCGACATTAATGTGTTTTTCTACAATTTTATTTATCCTTTGTTTTACAAACACATGTTTATTTTAGTCCATAAATAAACATATATGATATATAAAATACCGGAAATAGAAAGCGTAACATCTGGATGCATGGAAATTGAAAAAGCCGAGTAAAACATACTTCAAAACTTGATGACTTTTGTAATCACTTAAATCTATAAAACACGACAGACTTGTGACTGTTATTTAAAACGACAAGTTTACAGAAATCCCTACTAAATGTCACACTATAAGGATAGGAGATGCCATCGTCTTTTCTTAAGACAGTATCGTGAAATTTACCGTCTGGAGAAAGTCTCAGTATACTATGGGTATTATACCCAGCCAAGTACACGTTTTCATGTCTATCCATCGTTATACCGGCTACTCCGGAAATTTTGTTATACCGGTATACCGGCGTCCCATCTAATTTTACACAACGTAAATCACCTCTACTGCGAACAAGCAATTGACTGTTAAGTGCGTTATATACAATGAAATAAATAGGCGATCTGCAACATGGTATTTTAGACTGGTACAATCCGTTTGTATCTAATACATGAATGCTTCCTTGTTCATCGCCACAAAATATTTTATCTTCGGTCGCCGCAACGCCATTAAAAGCAAACCAAACGTGTACTTGATTTCCTATTGTCATGGAAGCGGTGTCGATAAATTGTACGGACTTAGCCAATGGCATTGTCACAACCGCTTTACTCGAGTGTGGAATCAATGCTATACCAAATGGATCACTCGGGAATGTCATTTCCTTCTCAAAATACTTGCACTCACTGTATACATAAACTTTTGGATATGACGGGTTATAATTGCAAAGTAGTAGTTTATTATCGCGAGTAACGACTAAATCTGTCAAATAATAATTTTCACCGGATTTCAAATTTAATTTTACACCACTCTTAAATTCAATTAACGGCTTTGCTGTATATGGCTGTGCTTGCGCTTTCTGATTCCTCAATGGTCGGTACTGGACACTACACGATCGGTTCCTATCGATAACTGATCCTATGGAACCCATATTTAGATTTTTTCTTTCATAAAACTTTATTTCAACTTGTTTTGTGGACGAAATTATGTAATCAAGTTTGCTCTCCGCTTTTTGAATTTCAGAAACGTTTTCGCGTAAAGCTAGAAAAAGTTGGTTGTTTGAGCCATGATTTTTCAGAAACTCAAGTTCGTTTTTACTGTCAGAGAGAGTCGTTGACAACTTTGATATGTCATCTTTTTGTTTCTGGATCTCAGCTTCATTTTTCTCTTGCATTGTTACAACCTTCGCTACCAGATCGCACTCTAAGTCATCAATGTGTTTTATCAACCGAATTTTGAGCATGCGTATTTGCTCTGTAATTGTTATTTTATTCTGTTCAAGCAATTGAAGGTTTTGTTCCCTATTCGCAAGAAGATGATCCAAAGTTTCTACAATGTGTGTTATATCTTTAAAGATGTCCACAAATAAAGAAGAGTTTTTTACACCCTTTGCCGCTTGGTCTAAAGGTAACACTTTTTCACATAGTCTGTGACAGTCCGGAATGCAGACACGACAACACACAGATTCGTGATCAGTGCAGTAATAATCCAATAATATATCAACATGAATGTTACAATATTTCTTTGCAGACTCAGGAACATGAATTGTGGAGCCAATTGTCGACAAATCAATCACATGGTGTGATTTGAACGCTTTGAAGCGCAGGTGAGATTCGGCGCAATCTTTACAAAGTTGTTCTTCACAGTCAGCACAATATCTCGTCGCAAATGAAGACTTGTCTTCTTCGGAACATGGGTCACAGAAAGCTTGAGACGCCATATTGTTCTTCGCCTGTAAATAATTAGAATATTTATCGTTATTTTTATGTCGTTATTTACGTCATAAAAAAGCAATGAAGTTCATACAAGCAAATATACTATATTAAAATAAGAAGATGTGGTATGCTTGCAAATGAGACAACTTTTCTATAGCTACTAAAGACCACATTACGTAGAAGTTAACAACTGTAGGTCACCGTACGCGGACTTCAACAATGAACAAAACCCATACTGCATAGCAAGATATAAATATAATGTGTTGCAGAGGCGGATTTAGAGGGTTTTCCAGGGGGGCCGCCCCCTTTTGTGGGAACAAATTGGTTGATTATTTAGGGAATCACTGAAGCATGACTGGAGCGGGCCTCCCTCTTAGGCAGTCAGTGCCCCCCTGAAATTTTTACAGTTTGTTTTAATGTTGTGGTGATGCACCACTGTACCATTTTTTAGAGTTTGGGGTTAGCGCTCACAAACATGTTTAACCCCGTCACATTATGTGCGTGACGCCAGAGCCTGTAGGCGCTCACAAATATGTTTAACATCGTCATATTATGTGCATCACGCCAGAACCTGTAGGCGCTCACAAACAGGTTTTACTCCGTCACATTATGTGCGTGACGCCAGAGCCTGTAGGCACTCACAAACATGTTTAACCCCGTCACATTATGTGCGTGACGCCAGAGCCTGTAGGCGCTCACAGACATGTTTAACCCCGTCGTTTTATGTGCGTGACGCCAGAGCCTGTAGACACTCACAAACATGTTTAAACCCGTCACATTATGTGCGTGACGCCAGAGCCTGTAGGCGCTCACAGACATGTTTAACCCCGTCACATTATGTGCGTGACGCCAGAGCCTGTAGGCAAGTGATCATTTATTGCTGTCTTCCATAATAATTGTTTTTGGTTACTTTTTAAGATAAATCAGGCCGGTGCTTTTCGCTTTTGAATGTTTTTATATTTTGTCATCCAGGAGTCATTGGTGTTCTTTTTTCATTGTGTCATATTTTGTCATCTCGGGGTCTTATATATCTTACTTTGTTGTATCAGCTTTGCTTATTATTGAAGGCCGCACACTGACCTGTAGTCAGTTTTTTGTGTCCTGTCTCAAGCGGATAGGTGTCGCGTTTGTAATCAAATCACAACTCCTTATTTTTATAAAGCAATCCTTTGAACCCTTTGGATTCGAGAATCAATATATAAAATAACAGCCTTTTTTATGCCCCACCTAGGGCATTATGTTTTTCGATCTGTGCGTCCGTCCGTCCGTCCGTCCGTTTGTTCGTCCATCCGTCCTTTCGTCCGTCCGTCTGTTCCGCTCCAGGCTAAAGTTTTTGGTCAAGGTAATTTTTGATGAAGTTGAAGTCCAATCAACTTGAAACTTGGTACACATGTTTCCTATGATATGATCTTTCTAATTTTAATGCCAAATTAGAGTTATGACCCCAATTTCACGGTCCACTGAACATAGAAAATGAAAATGATAGTGCGAGTTGGGCATCCGTATTCTATGGACACATTCTTGTTTTACAATTTGACGAAATCAAAAGTTATCAACGACGACATAATAGGAAGTGCAGAATTGCATTGTATGTTATGTAATCTTGCTTTCCATTGGTTAAGAAGGAACTTTTTGACATACTTTTTTAAGTTCTCAATTTTATCACGTATGTGGCCTGTTGCAAGTTTATGACTATCCAATATACCCTCATTTATACATGACCTATCTAGTGTCTTAATTGTTTGTTTGTTCCATCCTGAACATGCATGACATATTTGCCACTGGACGTAAAGCAAACAATAATCAATTAACCAATATCATCCTACATATAGTTCGAGTAATTCGAGTATACACCAAAGTTTTAAACCAATTCATTACACATCGGACTCTCTTGTCGGGTTTTGAACTAATGATAGTGATAATGAATTCCTAAGTAATTCAATGATATACTTACTGAAATGAATTTTGTAGTTGCTTCCTGTGATTTTAAGTAAAGATCGAAGACGCCATTTATTTCACAATAACAACAAAATATTTATCAAATGTTTATTTACTGTGCTTTAAATATTGATCGATCGAATACTTATAGTATATACGTTAAAGGTCTCCACTGAAAGGAAAATATTGAAATAATTGTACATTTTCTACGCTACGATGGTTACTACCATTGACATTATATTTTTTAAAATCTTGATTAGAGAGGTACTTTTAGGGAAGACGTAACTTTAAGGTATAGTACTACGGCATACCAAAGCCAACGTGGTGATCATGTCGTTTGGTGTTATAATGCATATTTATAAAGTTCGTTTTAGAAAATTATAAATCATCGACACGCTGCATAAAACCAAATTGTAATACTAAAAAATTAATTGAATATGAAAAGTTGAAGACGAAAGCACCAACAAACACATTAAATCGGTGTTTAAAATAAAGTTATTTTTACATCAGTTTTCAACAACTGATAGATTAAACATACGTGAATATCAGAGGCGGATTTAGGGGGCAGGGGACCCGGCCCCCCTTATGGAGCTTAATACAAGATAAAAGCATAGAGTTTTTACAGGTTTCAATCCAAACATAGGCTTGCCAGCCCCTTCCCCCTCTTTTTTCAAAATCCTGGATCCGCACCTGAACATTTCTATCAAATGACGGATAAACATAGGAAATTAGAAATGCTATCAACTCCAACGTATTATTTTTAAATTTCACATTTCCACAGTGAAAGAAAAAAGGAAATCGATAAAACAAACATCGTCTGTATTGTCGGGAGCTAGTACAGGCATTTTCAAAAATTAAGAAAATGTTATCGCTTATATTTTTGAATTGTTACATACATTTTCCGCCGGAATGTTAAAGATTACATTGTGTTTTTTTCCACGGGAATGTGAGAGGTTATATTCCTGAGTTGGTATAGGCATTTTTCACGGGGATGTGCTAGGTTATATCATTGCGTTGGAAATAAGGAAGTATGGGTGCAATTTATCCATTTTATCAATTTATCAAATGACACAGATATAGACAAAATGTAAAACACTTTAAACGAGAAAAAAATCTTTTTATGGAAAACCAATAATAGAAAAACGAATATAGCAGACATCAGCTAAAGCTAAATAAACCATTGAATTATATCTATATTTGTTTTTTTTTGTCATAAATCAGGGTGTTGGATTTCTTGCACAATTGACTTTTCAATTGGTCCTATTATGGCCTTTTAAGCTGACAGTATGGATTTACTCATATTATTAGGTCATATTAGCTTATCACAATGTCATTTGAACTCTGGTTGATTATATATATAAGTTTTATCATTTGCAATTAAAAAAAAAACTTCTTATTTTTATGTTGTTACATTTTCAACGTCGAGTAAACTAAAACTAGTTTGACTACAACAAAAAGGCCCTTTATAGTATACAAGTACAAGCAACTGAAAATCCCCCAAAATGGAATGTCATTGAATTTTTGATACTAATAATGCGAAGTTTATATTAATTAGTAGTGTTCACATTGGCATTCTGCATTTGACGGATTATAAAAAGCAATACTATTTTAATCCTTATTTACAGCAAATCCAGCAGATTTAGATGATAACCAGAAAAGATGGCTGGTTGTTGGAATATGTCTTCACAGCGTAATATCACCAGCATATGTTGTTTCAATTTTAACAGTACTCTATAATGAATTAACCCTCAAACTGAAGATTGATACGCAAACATATCCAGCACAATTAAAGCAACATCAACCAACAAACGCCTACCTGAATTACGAAGCTGTCAACAACAACAAAGCAATGTATATTTATCAGAAAGCAAAGTACGACTACACAATCAGGAGTGTTGTTGATTTATCCAAGCTATTTCTACAGACACACATGACACACTTTACACACTTTGATGACACATGCGACTCCTCCGCTGTGTTGGGATTAATCGTTAACATCGACAAGTTCCCTTCAGTGGTAAAGTCAGATGCGGATGATTTACGTATAGTATCTGTATAAATTGATATCTTACCGTTTTGCCCCCCCCCCCCCCCCCCCCCCCACCCAATTTTTTTTTTATGTGTTTCATAGAAATGATATTCCTTTGTAAAACTATTGTTTTTACTTTCTAAATCAATATTTTATCACTATTTGTCGAGAGATCCTAATTTTCTACAAAGCTATATTAAACATTAGTTGATATGTTCAAATGACTATAAATCACTATTTTTCGTTACAAAAGAACCTAAATTTACAAAGTTATAACAAACATTGGTTCAGTTTTTTCAAATTACTAGACAGAATTATAAACACACAACAGACACAATGCATATTGTGAACCAGTTCCTTTAATCTTGAACCAATCATCATTTGTGCGACGGAGAAATATTTAATAAATTAAAAACATAATTACACCTTATGTAAGAATCCTGGGTTTTGATTGGTTGATAGCCAGTGTATTTTTCACCAATTTACTTTTATCGAATGAATATCGTTCATTTTTAAACAGCGCCGGGGTATATGCAAAAAGGATATGCCTTTTTTACCCTCTCTGCCGTGGTATTTGCCAAAAAATTCTCTATCCGACTGGACGCTTGTAATGTCACGATCATCAATGCGTTTTATGTCACGATCATCAATGCGTTTTGTACGTTAACATTCGGTGTAATTAAACAGATATAGCATGTTCTTGAGGGGTATTTGCGAAAAATACCAGTCTTGAGAATGAATTTCCCTCGCCTTACGGCTCGTGAAATTTAACATTCTCTCGACTGGTATTTTTCGCAAATACCCCTCCTTAACATGATATATCTGTTCAAAATTAAGTGTTTGAAATGCTGTACTATCTGTAACAGAACATTAGAATTAAAACAAAAAATGTGTATATGTCAAGATAATGATTTATTGTCATTTAATAGTTATATAAGAAAACACGAAATTCACACGAGAAAAAAATCACGTGAAATTCACCCCCAACAAGCTGATACGTATTTTTATCAATGTGAATGTCACGTGGACTATACAAACAACACTCAAACTACATCATGAATTACACGTGAGATTCAAATAAATCTTAATTCACGTGAAATTCACGTGAGTGAAATTTACTTGTGTAGGTGGTAAAGCACTCGAATCTTGAAACACTCAATGATCAGTCAGTATTTCAAAGAACGAATGTGTTTAAAAAATAAAACAGTTAAACACGACGGGTGCCACTTGTAAAGCAGTATTTTTTCTACATAAGAAAATGCCTGTACCAAGTCAGGAATATGACAGTTGTTATCCATTCGTTTGATGTGTTTGTTTTTTTTTTTTTGATTTTGCCATTTGATTGGGGACTTTCCTTTTTGAATTTTCCTCGGAGTTCAGTATTTTTGTGATTTTACTTTTTTCTTATTATTCTTGAGCAGCTGAGATTACTCCCAATTTATGGTGGGGTTCGTGTTGCTCAGTCTTTAGTTTTCTATGTTGTGTTTTGTGTACTGTTGTTTGTCTGTTTGTCTTTTTTTCTTTTTTAGCCATGGCGTTGTCAGTTATTTTCGACTTATGTGTTTGAATGTCCCTTTGGTATTTTTCGCCTCTCTTTTAAAAAATTACGTTTATAATTTGTACAAGAAAGTCACTGTCACATGATAGCAAACAACAATCGTTCATTTGTTTATGAATAACAAGGAAAATGTAGTGACTGGTCATGATCATTGTGAAAAATTTTGATGTCTTTCTATTTAATCTGTCAAGAACTCCCTTATCTAAGTCTTTGAATACCAGTAATACATTGAATTTTATTTCACGTCAGGTACGAAGAAATATAAGGAATCCATGGGATCATTGTTATTTCACTGAGTGGGACGCTGTTAAGTATTCCGATTCATTCCAGCTGATGGAGAAGCTAGTTAAAGACCTCAGTCTGAGTTCCACCGAAGAACATCAAATCTTTAGGTAAATGAAAAAATGGGAAATAAATGGTAATGAACAAAAATTTATGAGATTTTAATTGAAAAAAAAAAATTTTAGTTTGCCGAATGTCTTTCGGAAAAGATTACATATTTGTAGGAAATATCACTTTTTTGAAACTACACTCAAATGATTTCATCCTTAATCTATATTCGCCGCGATATGCCGTTTTTCTGCCGAGGCGTAAAACCATCACCAAGCAACCAATCTATATATTTATCATTTGTATATTACAATGCAAAAATGTATTATATGAATGGTGTACTTGAGATAAACGGATTTTAACATGTGAAAATATATTTTTTATTCAATTGACAATTGAAAATCTATCAACGTAATAGAAATACGTTAATAATCCTGATAGATATAAGAAGATGTGGTATGAGTGCCAATGAGACAACTCTCCATCCAAGTCAAAATTTATAAAAGTAAACCATTATAGGTCAAAGTACGGTCCTCAACACGGAGCCTTGGCTCACACCGAACAGCAAGCTACAAAGGGCCCCAATTACTAATGTAAAACCATTCAAACGGGAAAACCAACGGTCTAATCTATATAAAAAACGAGAAACACTTATGAACCACATCAACAGACGACAACAACTGAACATCAGATTCCTGACTTAGGACAGGTGCAAACAATTGCAGCGGGTTAAACGTTTTAATGGTACCAAACCTTTACCCTTATCTGAAACAATAGTGTGACATCACAACATAGAAAGACACACTATAAATATCAATTGAAATGGCTTAATTCAATCAAAAGACATATTAACACCAGTGAACATACACTGAACAAATAAATTTGATCTATGATACAATGTAAATACAAAATAAATGATACCCATTAGTCACATACAAAAGCACTAGCTACTACCGTCAACGTTTGGAATACCAAACAAAGGCATTATAATTATGGTGGCTTGTTTGCCTTTATTTAGTTAGTTATCAGCTGAACGTATCGTAAACAGCAATGAGAAAAATTACAATTGACGGCGGTACTTCATAAGTTCTACTCAATCCATTTAGGAACAGATGAAACATGTTTAACGTTTATGTAGTTGTTCAGTCGTACAGTAAATTAAAATGTTTAATCAACCGAGTTCTTTCTGTTTAGATCAACATTTTTTGG